CATGACCAAGAACCCAAAAGCAAATGCAACAGTAAACAAAGATAAATAGATGGGACTCAATTAAACTAAAAAGCTTCTGCAGAGCAAAAGAAATAATCAGCAAACAGACAACCCACGGAGTGGAAGAAAATATTTGCAAACTATGTATTCGACAAAGAACTAATATCCAGAATCTATAAGAAACCCAAACAAATCGGCAAAAAACAAAAACCCAAACAATCCCATCAAAAAGTGGGCTAAGGACATGAATAGACAATTCTCAAAAGACGAGATGCAAATGGCCAACAAATAGGAAATAATGCTCAACATCACTAATGATCAGTTAAATGCAAATCAAACCCACAATGCCACACCACCTTACTCCTCTAAGAATGGCCATAATGAAAAAATAAAAAAAGTAATAGATGTTTGCATGGATGTGGTGAACAGGAAACACTGTTACAATTGCTGGTGGGAGTGTAAATGAGTATAACCACTATGGAAAATAGTATGGAGATTCTTTAAAGAACTGAAAGTAGATCTACCATTTGACCCAGCAAGTCTACTACTGGGTATCTACCCAGAAGAAAAGAAGTCATTATATGAAAAAGACACTTGCACACATATGTTTATAGCAGCACAATTCACAATGGCAAAAATATAGAATCAGCCCAAATGCCCATTAATCATTTTTCATTATGGCCATTCTTACAGAAGTAAATATGTGTGTGCGTGTGTGTGTGTGTGTGTGTATATATATACACACACACACATTTTCTTTATGTGTTACTATATATGTGTGTATGTGTGTGTACATATGTATACCCATATACATATATACACACATACATATGTAACATTTTATGTGTATGTATGTGTGTATATACATATATATGCATACACACATACATATGTACACACACACACACACACACACCATGGAATACTAATCAGCCATAAAAAGGAACAAAATAATGGCATTTGCAGCAACCTGGATGGAATCAGAGAACATTATCCTAAGTGAAGTAACTCAGGAATAGAAATCCAAACATCGTATGTTGTCACCCATAAGTGGGAGCTAAGCTATGAGGACACATGATACAATGAACTTTGAGGACTCAGGGGAAAGGGTGGGAGGGGGATGAGGGATGACAGAATACACATTGGGTACAGCGTATACTCTCAAGTGATAGGTGCACCAAAATCTCAGAATCACCACTAACCACTAAAGAACTTATCCATGCAACCAAACACCCCTGTTCCCCAAAAATCTGTTAAATAAAAAAAACAAATAATGCTCCCAAAATAGATGCAAAAGACAAGACAGGCAGTGTCTTAATCACTCGTCCAGAGAAAATCCTATGGAGGATTTTCTCCCAATTACACAATCCTGAGCCCCAAGTCAGATTTACTGAATAAGAAATTCCTAGCTGAGGACTGAGTCTGCATATTTTGGAAAAGCTTCCCAGGTAATTTGGATGCTCATTACGCCTCCACTCATCCTTGAAAGCAGTGATTTAAATGCTATTTATCTACCAGGTGAAGAGAATGGTGTGATACAAACCACACAGTGAAATACCTGGGCCTCTGATAATGTACAAGGTCAAGAAGCTGGCAGTATTCTATTTTTGTCTGCATAGCTGTTTGCTATTTAAAAATTCAAGGAGGCTGAGGGCCTGATGAAGCAACTGAATTTATCTAAGGCTTCCTGGGTGCTCCCTGTGGCTACGGTTGGTAGCATTATAATTTGGATGGTGAGTAGATTTGCAATTTTTATATTAAACTTGAAATTCTAGTAATAAAACTGTTTTAATGCATTTCAATAGTGGGTGGTAAATAGCTGTCCAAGACAAATACAAGGCCAGTAGCCAGATTCTTTTCATTTCTTTCTTTGGTGCTGCTCAGAAAATAAAAATGTGAGAAATAGTTCATCAGCACAAACTGAAAGTCCATCTACAAATTAAATAACCTGTTGCCTGTCCACTTTTTTCCCTCCTACTGGTATTTACTGGGCACCCAGAGAATGCCAGATGTGAGAGAACAATTGCTCAACACAGCAACTTTCCATTTTTACTGGAAGGCTCTCAAAATACTTTTCTCTCAGCTTTGTGGGGAGAAGGGAGCCCCCTAGGGATGTGGCTGATTGAGGCTGATTGTGTTAGAAACGTGGGGGACTCTAATGACTCACTGTGATAAATTAGTTAGATGAAGGCAGGCAACATGTAGCTTCCACTCTCCTGATGCACAGGCATCCCTTAGCACTTGTCTTGACTGTACATTTTAATATATGAAATGTCCCATTTTCAAAATTCATTCTCTTGTCCCTAAGCACAACAGCACAAACTGGTTTCAGAATCACTTAGCCAAGAATATCATAAAAAGACCCTTGATGATCAATTCCAATGCTTCATCTATTTCACTGTGAAATTTATGTCCTTGAGAGGTCAGGTGCCTTAGTCCGTTTGGGCTGCTATAACAAAATACCTTAAACTGGATAATTTATGAACAACAGAAACTTATTGCTCATAGTTCTGGATGCTGCAAAGTCCAAGATCAAGGAGCAAGCAGATTTAGTATCTGCTGAGGTCCTGTTATCCACAGATGGCGCCTTCTGAGTCCTCATGTGGCAGGGGCTGGGGGCAAGCTCCCTCAGGCACTAATCCCATTTATGAGGATCTCATGACCTAGTCACCTCCCAACGGCCCTATCTCTTAGTACCAACTAATTGTAGGTTAAAATTCAACACAATTTAGGAGGAACACAAACATTCAGTCCATGGCAGTGTTTATTAGGCTCTAGCATTTGAAAAGGAGGACTTCTTGTTAAATGTATGAAAATAAAGTCTTTAAAAAAAAAATCAGACAGGAGTTGGCATCTCGTAATCGCCTGGAAGCAGCAGCTCTCCCAGTGATCGCTAACCTTCTAGCCCCAGGTCATACAACTTGATTAAAATACCAGACCAGGCATCCAAATAGCGAGGGGGATACTAGTTCTTCACTAGCCATGCTAATGGATAAAGAGATGTGGTTTTAAAATTTTTTCTCTTCAGCTTGATCTGGGATTGTGATCTGGATCCATAGGTAAGCTTCATGGTGTTCACATGTTCAGACTGAAACAGTAACTCTATCTCCTCCTCGTAGAAACAAAAAGAGAACACTTCATAGCGCTTTGTTTCTGAGAATGTAACTTGATTGATATTTAAAAGCCTGACACTGATTTTAATAGAGTCAAAAATACATAGTTTTCATACAGAAAAAGCACCACAGAAATTATTTGCATGATAAAATTTCAAAGATCTGCTCTCTGGCAGATGCTGCATAATACTTCCTTGTTGCTTTCAATAACACATTGTATCTGAGGCTCTCACAGTCTTTTAAAAACTCGCTGTGGCATTATCATTTTAAAGACGTGAACTGGAAAACATAGGTTTAATTTTATTAAGATTCCATACAAGGTCAATGAAAGGGAGCAGAAAATGAATGCCAGAAGGAGCTATTATCTTGCATAATACATATCAATAAATGAAGAGGACAAATTAATTCAAAACAAAAGGGGAAATCCATTTAGAATCCAGAAGAAGCTGCTAAGATTAAAGAAAATGAATAAATAAAAATAAAACAATTTAAAAAACCTGAATAATGCAGCACCTCCAGTGAAGAACTCAGCCTACTCACACAGTCAATCTGAAGACAGAATGGGCATAACATTTGCATACGATTGAAGATCACGTGCAGCAAATCTGCTCTTCTTCAGTATTACAAAGCCCACAAAATTTAGGTTTTTTTATTCATAAAATTTGTCCTCATACAATTAAAAAAAGGACTACGTTTTTCTTTGGTTTTTGCCTTTCCCCTGCTCTCAACCCTAACGTGCCAGAATCTTATGGAACCCAGTGTCCTTTTGTCTTCTTGGTTTATAAGTTCTGTTTGTAATAACCTTGAGTTGCCTCTATTTTATTCAGAGACGTATCTTATATCTAATAATCAACAACTCCTTACCACTTTCATTGGCTCATCACCCAAGTGTATATAAAGTATCCCTAAGGGGTCTTCATTTGACCAGCACATCATTCTCCTTAAGGAGACATTATAGAAAATAATTAACCAAATGAATATGAGTGACAGGGAGATTAGAAGGCTTAGTTGAATGATGGTTAAGGAATTCTTAAACCTGCTCACTGGGGTGATAGCTCACTGAGGTAGGCCTCTCAGTCTACCTAACTTCAGTGTATTCTTTACTGGTCTTGATTTTTGAGAAATGAAGTCTTTAAGAACATTTAAGCTATTATCAAATTTCTTCACAGAGAAAGTCTTACACATGAACCAGAAGATACATAGATACATTCAAGAATGTTCACAGAGCAGTAGTCACAACAGCAATAATTGGGAAACTGAAATGTCCATCAACGGGATTCTAGAAACCTGATAAGGTGACATGCCAAGTTTGTTACTAAGCAACACTGCTCATGCTCATAGTAAAAATGACAGACACCCCAGCTCCCTGCCCCATTAAGTTGCATCTGGACAGGGGGAATGACAGCTATCCGGTGGGAAGCCATAGCTTTAGGCTTCTCTGAGTGAGCAGACTGGTAACTCAGCAGGCTGCTGGGACTCTGGAAATTCTGCCTGTGGAGTTGTTCCAAGAAACACTGGCTCCCTTCTGGTATCGGATTCTAGGCCAGAGTGGTTCTCACATATGCCCACGTGGGGCTCACTCTGTGTACGTTCGCTATCACCCAGAGAAGTGAGGCAAGAAGCAGCTCTCAGATAGCTGAGTGGACTGCTCCAGAGACTGCTCAAGGGGACTTCTCCAAGCCTCTGCTCTGCTGGCTAGCAGTGTTTCTTGTCCTGTATCCTTCCCAGGGAACCTGATGCTGAGCATGGGCTTATGGGAGTTGTGAGTCTGAATGCATAGCTGGACCCAGGAGGACTTCCTGGTGAGGGTTGCAAATCATTGCTACTGAGGGTTACATTAAGAAGAACTTTTGCATTCCATGTATACATTATTGAATAATGTTAATCTTTTATAATGAACATGTAATTTATTATTGGAGGAAAAAGATTACTGAAAGAAAACAAATCTCCATCAAACTGTTTTAAAGGCATATCCCCCAAGAGACCATGGCCAAACTCCAGATGAAATGTGAATGAGCAGGGTATCATTTTAGACAAAGTTCCAAAAGACTATAGGCTATAACAAAAAGTAAAGTTTTAAGGTGACAGAAGAGTCTATCTTGGCAAGCATATTACAAATCCTGCGTATTTTGAATTCCAGTGTGCTTTTTAATATTTCTTAGCTTGATTAAAATTTTGGAGCCTTGTATGGCTAGGTAAATTTAATATGTGTCATTTAAAAATATACTATCATCAAACATTTTGCTACCCTTGCAATTAAGAGAGCCAGGACAGTCTTCTACTTCCATAGAAATAATGAGCCCAATCTAGTGAAGGAGTGAGTAAATGAAATATGTTCCCACTTGGCTATGAAATAGTCATCCATGAGAGGAAATTTTCAGAATCCTTTTGTATCAACTTTTTGGCCTTCCTGAAAGAGTTGGTTCTTTAGCAAATCAAGTGATTTCTCGGTTGCTGTCAGGCCAAACAGTCCACGTGGAGGTAGCAGATTAGCATTATTTACAGAGATGGTCATAATATAAGCACTAATGAGAGTGATAATAATTGACAAATACCTAATAAACATTGATTTCAAGTCCCAACAAACACTCAGCAAGTAAGACTACATGACGCTGAGCTGCTTAAGAGAAAAAAGAGCTTTACAGGAAAGAAGCGGATATTCAACTTAATTTTAAGCTTTATCTTGAAAATGTTAAATCAACAATGGTGTTGTGAGTAGAAATAAGATTTACTTAGATCTAGAATGACAGGCTGCTGTGTTTTTAGAAACAATTCTTTTTTCTCTTTTTTGGTTTAGAAACAGAAAGGAGAGTTCAACGGCCTGGGACTGGCTTCTACTCATCAGTTGTTTGACACAAAGCAAATTAGTCACATCTCCCGCTCTTCGGTGTTTGCCTCTGTAAAACGAAGAAGGTAACGGCTCCCACATTTCCAGTGATGTCAGAGAACCACATGAGATAAACAGCATGGCACCTGACCACGGTCAGCACCCTGTTAAGTGTCGGAGTTATGGCTATGGACACAGACAATGGCATGGCAAACCTCCGGGTCTGCTCCCTTCAACACATGGTGTTTGTTCTAGGAGCTTACTGCAAGGTTTCAAACCACCACTCCCATAGTCTGTTTTCCTTCAAATACATGCACACATGTTTGTGGGTTCTCCTTTATATATGACTTTTTTTTTGTCCTTATAAGAGAGTAATGATAAGCCACAAAATTAAACACAGGGAAAAGCAATTTCCATTCTTAGCTGTCATTGAGAGCCTAAGCCTGTCTTCAGGAAAAGGGCTTCTGTGAGCAGAAGTCATCTTTGAATAGAAATGGTCTGAAGTCTGAGACTTAGCTAGAAACTGAAGGAGAAATGAAAGGACTTTATCTAATTAGTGTAGAAGAAATTTTAAAAAAAGTCTTAATTATTCCTGATCCAAACAATAACTTGTATTTCTAAGAGAAAGTTCATAATATCTTTCTCCCTTAAAATTCAGGCTTATATCCTTCATCTCTCTTGATAGCTCCAGTTGGGTGTTTAAAAGTATCCTCCAATTCATGGCTAAAAAAGAATACTGGATTTGAGCTCTCTAGCGCTCCAACAATCCGTACTCAGTATGGCCACCAAAATGATCTTTTCAGAATATAAACAAAACCACTTTGTTACCAGGCTTCATACTGTCCAGTGGCTTCCAATGCACTAGGAATACAGTTCAAGGCTCCACATGATAAAGTCTCTTCCTACCTCTTTGCCCACATTCCTCTACCATCCTCATCACTTTTCCAGGTCTTTTTGTTTTCAGAACACACCAGACTTGGTCCCACTGCAGGGCTTTTGCACTTGCTCTTAGTGAGAGTTACAATGTACTCACCTCCAGATTTTCATGGCTGGCTCTTTCTCAACATTGTCAGCACAAATCCCACTCTTTCAGAAAAGTGTATCTGGCCTGCCCCACCTAAAGTAGCCCACTTCCCAGCTCTCATGCTGCACTATCACAATGCCTAGTTTTATTCACTTTATGCAAGCTGAAATTGCCTTATTTGTTTACTGTTTATTCTCTCTACTTCATTAGAAGAGGGAATGCACCTGTCTTATTCACACTGTATTCACCATGCAGAGTTTCTCAACACAGATGAGTGAATTAATGAATGACAATAATTTGATTTTCTTCATTTGAAGGTTAATTTTTAAAAACATGTTTAAAATATACCCCTTTTCCTCTTGAAAATACTCTTACATATGCAATAACTTCTGTTCATTCATTTTGCCCAGTACCAGGTGACTTCTTTGACTCAGAGGTTCACATCATTCTTAACTTTGGGTATGTTTTCTTCTATTATATCTTTAAAGATTGTTTCTGTTATATTCATTCTGGAGTTTTCTTTTAAACACAGATTAGATTTCTGTGCTGGTGCTTGGAAAACTCTTTTAAATATCTCTCAGCTAATATCTCAACTAGAATGCCACCTTGTCAGAAAGTCCAACCCTGAAATGACCTTGTACAAAAGTGTGCCCAACACCTTCTGCCCCACCATTCTTCATTGATATTTTTCATATAAGGCATGTAACTCACTTAAAATGGTAACTACAACACTGCATGCTTACTCTTAAAGTGATAGTTATTATTTTCTCCTTGTTTACTGTCAGTGTGCACCTTCTGTATATTTAAGATATACAGAAGAAAAACATTTTTGTCCTTGTCTACCAGAGTATTATTGGAATCTAGAAAAATGTGCCTACACAGATTGGGTTAAACTAATCAAAGAATCAATATAAAATAAATACACACTGGAATGAACGATGTGTGTGAATATATAAAGTCTGAGTCCTTTTATTTCACAGAAATTGCTTTTTATATTTGTATTGCTTTGGTAATTCAGTGACTTCAATTAAATATGCAAAATCTGTCCATTATTAAAATACTGACACAGTAACTTATAACCTAGTGGTTAATGAGCTACAAAGCTCACTTTAAAAACAAGCTGCTTTGTACATTTCATATGTACACAATACTTCTTTTAATTGTCAAAATGGATTTGAGACATGAAAGTTAAACTGCAGAAACAAACTTAGTAACTTGATTTTAATGTTACTACAGTTACTTCTGGAATGAAGCCTCTTGGAAATAAATTCCAACTTGAAGTTTCCTAAATGTTTAATAAAAGGCTAGTGTGACAGCTTAATAACAGAATTTCAGACATAGCTTAAGACATGGTTTGGATATGTATCCCCTCCAAATCCCATGTTGAAATATGATCCCCAGTGTTGGAGGTGGGGTCTAGTAGGAGGTGCTGGATCTTGGGGACAGCTTCCTCACAAATGGCTTGGTGGTATCCCGTGGTAATGAGTACCCTGAGATCTGATTATGAAAAAGAGTCTAGGACCTCCTCCTTTCTCCCTTGATCCCTCTCTCCCCATGTGACAGACTGGCTCCCCTTCATCTTCTGCCATGATTGGAAGCTTCCTGAGGCCCCCAGAAGTGGAGGCCAGCACTATGCTTCATGAACAGCCTATAGAACTGTATTCTTTTCTTCATAAATTACTCAGTCTCAGGTAATTCTTTATAGCAATGCAAACAAACTAACACAGCTTAATTCTACCTGAGCTCAAGATTCTTCTATACATCAGGGAACTATTTTATTTAAAAATAGTTATTTCTCTTTGTATCTTATATTAGATTTTTAAAAGAGCAGAAGCCATGAGAATGTTAAGGGAACATAATTTAACGTGACCCAAATTAGGGAACCAAATTTCTAACAAAATTATTTTTTAGAATGTCATTTAAAAAACAATAAAAATAGTGCTGAAAATGAATATCTTGTGAAAGCAGGCTAATTAGATAATGACTGTTGATCGATTTGTAGCCAGTTCAACCCAAAATTCCCAAAAAGTTGTACCTAAATAATGCTTCCTTTAGTTGAAGTAAAATCATCATCATCACTTGGAAAACACATTCATTCTAGAAATACTTTTCTTAAAATTATTTGATAAATGAGTGTTTGTTCAAAAAGAAAAAAAATGACTAACGCTTAATACCTTCTGGATATTTGATCTGATGCATGAAATGCTTTCTTGTCTCCAGATAACTCCACATTTTGTATCTACCCTTCCCTCTATGTTCAGTGGCAAAATAACTGTCATGGCTTGACTTCTCGTTAAGTAGAAGACTAAGCATGAGTTTAGTCTTTCTTTTTTAAAGAAAAAAGTGTAAATCTGTATGAAGAAAAGTTATTTTACTTTTAATAGGTCTCATAATTGAGAAGTTATACATTAATTAAAATATTTATTTAAACGTAACCGTAACATTTATGAGAAGGATGGAGTTCACTTGCTGTCACTGTACTATCGCTTTCAAAATCTTGTGTTCAGAAGATGTTTAAATTGTGTAGAACAGAAATGGAACAGAGAATATAAATTTTAAAGTTATCTTTGAAGAAGGAGTAATTGAAATAAGACTTGATGACACTAATAACAGTATCTGAAAGAGAGAGAGAAACGGAGAGAGATAACACTGCTAATGCAATAAGCTCATTTACTTTTTAAAATGAACGCTCTTAATTGGAAAAAATAATTTCATGACTTACCTCTGCATACTTTAACTTCAATGTTTTATGCATTTCTCGAAAACGACTGTAACGCCTGAATACAGTCCATGTCTCATCTAGGACAGTAATCTATTAACCAGAAAAACCAAAATGAAGAAAAAGTCACTACAATTTTTTTTCCAAATAATTCAAAAATTAAATTAACGAAAAGTGATTAGCATGTAGAATTTCTCTAGAAATGAAAACAATCTAGCTGCATAAACACAACTTAGATATAATAAATGTACTTTACTTAAACGTGCCACTTGGGCTCTCAGATCTTGTTACAGGCAGCTTGTCTAGGTAAAGTGAGGGGCAGATGGTCATTTCTTAATTGGTTATAAAAAGTGTCCCTTTTTATAGAAACACTTTTAAGGACAAGGAGGTGGAAGAGGAAAAAATCTTACTGCATCTCAGTCATCGTTAGTTAATAACACAATGGTATATTTTGCTTTTTTTTCAGAGGGAGAATAATCAATCCAGGCTGACTGGAGTAGAAACTCTGTTGCACATCAGCTCACATATGAAAGGTCACAGTGACAAAAGGAGGCAGGTAGATCACATTGGCTTTTACAATCACACCTAAATCACAGGCCAATGAATATCCAATTCCTATCTCCACTTTCCACCTTTCTCTGAGCCGCAGACCCATGTACCCAACTTGGACTCATCTTTCTTTTCGTGTCACCCAGGAACCTCCAATTCAGTATGTCTAAAACCATACTCAACATATTCCCTCCAGTCCCAGCTCTGGTGCTCTCCATTTCAAAGCATTCTACCACCCCCTACTAAGCGATGCCAGCCAGAGACGCTGAGGTCATCCCTGACCTCCCTCCTCTTCCTATCCCTGCATTCAAGCAGTGCTAAGTCTTGCTCCTTTTGACTTCTAAACATTGCTTAGAACTTTATCCTTCCATCCTTTGCCATCAGCACCATTTGACTCTAGGCCATTAGGTCTCCTGTGGACCCTACAAGAGCACTGCCCAAATGTCCACCCCACATCTGCCCTCTCCAATCCCTTCTCTGCATGACTGACCAGATCTTTTAGAATTCAAATCGAATTATTTGATTTGGGAGGCAATCCTCCTTAAGGGTAGCTTCATGCTGCTCATAGAAAAAGACCTACATTTTTAACCTGCCCACAGCAGCATGTCTGCAGGCCTCTCCCGCTAGGTGCCTTCACGCTGCTGCACTCCCTGAAGGCACATATTCTCTGTACCTCAGGGCCTTTGCACGGGCCATGCTCCTGTTGGGAACTTAACTTGCACATAAGGGAAAGGCTCTTCTCAAGCACAATAATTCAGCCCAATTCTCCTGCATGTAAATCATAGGGCCATCAGTAGGAAAGAAGAAACAAGAATGAGAAAAGACACAGATGGGCAGCTTTGTAAGGAGGAATGAACTGGAGTCCCAGCCATTCTCTGATTCACTCACTTCCCAAAGTGGCAAATGAGATGGTATGGGGTGTATGAGGATGTACATTTTTACATTTTTCATCATTCTGGTTCTATATGCTTTTTTCACAATAACTTTTCAATTCTGCCAGGCTTCTTATGAGTTTCCTTGAAAAAGACATTTTCCATAAGAAAACAAAAGTAAGCGTATTTACAGAAAATCCTTACAAACAAAAGTGCGGGTGCTCTGCAGCCGCAGTGAGCATTTAAGGCTGGTAAGTACGTCACTTGAGCTTGGGAAACCCTGCTCCTGGCTGCCAGGCTGGTTGGCCTTCCTCTCTGGCTTTCTCCTCCTCAGCAGACCCCACTGATGTACTGAGAGCAAGACCAGCACAATCAGCAAGGATGGCCACAGCTCAACAACCCACAGCCTTGGGTGGACACAAACCAGGTGGCAAATACAAAACTGGAGCACGAGTGGGCCCTTCTACTTTTTGAAGTGGCATGCCGCAGCCTGCTTACCCGGAAAAGCCCAGGAAGTTAATGGAACCACGCCATGACCTAGGGGTAGTAAGACGCACAATGAGACTGTTTCACAAGTGAGACTGTACTATACTGGGACTTGGGATTCCTCAGAAAGCCACCTTCAGAAGCCTAGGTTTCTTGCATTCCTCAGATTCTAATGTTTCCAGCTCTCTTCCGTCTCCTGAAATGCTTTCATTGCACTTCTTGGACTCAGGAACAGTCATCAGCAAACTCCCCCAAAACCTCAGCCTCTTCTGGAACATCCTCTTCATCTTTGCTCTAACTAGAAGCTGGCTCTCCCATAAGGAAGCACTTCCCTGGCAATACTCTCCAGCAGGGGCTGTCTTCTCCCACTCATCAGCCAGCCATGCTGGGATGGGGGTCAATACTTGTTCTTCACTCCGTTTTCCAAATCACTGCTCCTCTATCTTAGAAAGGATAGATATCTTCTAAGGCACTATGCTCACAGAGCAGAAATCTCTCAGGCCCTGTCTCCTCCTTGCATGCAGCCATTCACCCTGGTTGCTTCCTCGATTCCTTGAAGGTTTAGAGAGTGCTCACAGTCATCTGCTTCCCTACTGATCCTGCATGATTCTTGGTAATTTCATTCATCACACAAATGATACCTCCAACACCCTGACCTCTAACGTCCTTTTACCTCTGCCCTGGTTTCTCCCTCACTCAACTTGAAAACCATGAGAAATTCTCATAAGTACAAAACCTCAAGTCTGTCCCACTCTTGAAATTCTCTGGACAAAAATAAACCACAACTCTTGTTAAAACCAACTGTCTGCTCACTCCCTGCCTGCACCTGCCCAGCAGAATGGGGCTGAGGAATAACACACCCCACCAAACAGACGGATCTCATTTTAAAGTCACAATTCCCACTGTCAAGTCTGCTCTGATGACACCCACCAGTCACGCCATGTTTTCCAATTCTGTGCACTCTTCCATTCTCTTACAAAATGATTACTCCTCTTTGTCCTCAAGTCTTCACCACCTCTCTCCTGTCTTCTCAGCTGACAGCCTTAAGTCCTATTTCACTGAGAAAACAGAAGGAATCAAAGGAACACTTCCACAAACGCCCTTGCCCACCATCATGTCCTGCCCCTCATCTTTTCTCCTGCTTCCAGGCATGAGATCTGTCAGTGCTCCTGGTTAAGGCCAACTCCCTGGAATGCTGGGTTCCAACTCCTTTGGCTTTCTGAAAGTCACCACAATTAACAATTTTCTCTCCACTCTCCTGCACCCACATAGCCTCCTTTCTATCATATAACTACAAAAGCATTTAAATATACAATTATTTCTCTCATCTTAAACTCTCATCTTGACTCCCCCCTTCCCTTCCATCTACCATTCCATTTCTGTCTTTTCCATTAAATCAAATTTCCTTGAAAAAGTGTATTCCTGATGTCATCCATTTCATCTCATTATTCCCTGGATCCACTCAAATCTACTCACCATTCCACCCAAACTACTCTTACCAAGGTCAACAACGATTTCTGTGTGGCTAAATCCACTGGTCCACGTGTGGTTTTGATTATACCTGGTCTATGGGAGGGATCTGACACAGCTGTCCGATCCACTGGACCACGTGTGGTTTTGATTGTACTTGGTCTATGGGAGGGATCTGACACAGCTGTCTGATCCACTGGTCCACGTGTGGTTTTGATTGTACCTGGTCTATGGGAGGGATCTGACACAGCTGTCTGATCCACTGGTCCACGTGTAGTTTTGATTGTACTTGGTCTATGGGAGGGATCTGACACAGCTGTCTGATCCACTGGTCCATGTGTGGTTTTGATTGTACTTGGTCTATGGGAGGGATCTGACACAGCTGTCTGATCCACTGGTCCATGTGTAGTTTTGATTGTACCTGGTCTATGGGAGGGATCTGACACAGCTGTCCGATCCACTGGACCACGTGTGGTTTTGATTGTACTTGGTCTATGGGAGGGATCTGACACAGCTGTCTGATCCACTGGTTCACATGTGGTTTTGATTGTACTTGGTCTATGGGAGGGATCTGACACAGCTGTCCGATCCACTGGTCCATGTGTAGTTTTGATTGTACTTGGTCTATGGGAGGGATCTGACACAGCTGTCCGATCCACTGGTCCATGTGTAGTTTTGATTGTACCTGGTCTATGGGAGGGATCTGACACAGCTGTCTGATCCACTGGTCCACATGTGGTTTTGATTGTACCTGGTCTATGGGAGGGATCTGACACAGCTGTCTGATCCACTGGTCCCCGTGTGGTTTTGATTGTACTTGGTCTATGGGAGGGATCTGACACAGCTGTCCGATCCACTGGTCAACATGTGGTTTTGATTGTACTTGGTCTATGGGAGGGATCTGACACAGCTGTCTGATCCACTGGTCCATGTGTGGTTTTGATTGTACTTGGTCTATGGGAGGGATCTGACACAGCTGTCTGATCCACTGGTCCACATGTGGTTTTGATTGTACTTGGTCTATGGGAGGGATCTGACACAGCTGTCTGATCCACTGGTCCATGTGTAGTTTTGATTGTACCTGGTCTATGGGAGGGATCTGACACAGCTGTCTGATAACGTCTCCTCCTTCAACATCTTTTGCATTCATTTCAGCTTCCAGGTTGCTACACTCTTAGCTTAGTTTTCCCTTCATCTGCGATTTCTCATCTCCCCGACCTCTAAACATCAGCGTGCTCCAGGACTTAATCGTTGAGAACATGTTTTATTTTCTACCCGCACTCGCACTCACTGCTTTGGTGACCTCATCCCATCTCACAGCATAAATTTGCATGTGGATGACTCCCTGGATGCCCGCACCTCTCTCCTGAACCCAGACTCATATATTCTATTGCCTACTTGACATGCTGGCCTACTCGGATGTCTAATATGCATCTCACCCTTACCATGGCTGCACTTACCACAATTAATATCACCCAAACCTGCTCCCCTTCCCCATCTCAGTAACTGACAATGCTATTCTTCTCCCTGTTACATGCAAAAACTCTGGCATCATCCTTGATGTGTGTCTTTCTCTTTCACACCTCACATGCAGTCAGTGAATCCCTTCCTGCCAAACTTCCAAAGCAGAATGAGAAAATGACCATTTCTCACTCTCTCCACTGTGCGTATGTTGGTCAAACACCATCATCTCTTGCCTGGATTATTTTTAACAGC